GAATATCCAAGAACGGTTGTCGAATTTTGAAGTCATCACTTAAATTAAACCACCTAAAACATGAATATACTTATTTAATGCATTTACAGGTATAACGCGGTACTTATACAACGCAATTTCGATATAAAATGAAATCATTTGTTTATCTTAGTCTAGTAAATGCTCTTTCAGTTTCTACAATACACATAAGTAGTTCCCAATGTAGATTGTGCAATTTCCCCCTATATGGTGAAAGCTTTTTATTTTTCACGCAATCTTTTTAGAAAAATGTAAAATACTCTTCTGTGTTAACAAGTGTGTAATTATAATTATACACTAGAAATTCCCTTTGGTGTTTTGTATGAAAGTTGCATTCTGCTTATAATTTCCTTTTCTCTTTTCAATTGCGTTCTTGAAAATAGCGTTTAATTTAAGTAGATAACGAGCAATTATTTATTGTGGCATCGTCACAGTGCCGACTGCAATTTTTAATTTTTTTAATTTAAAATATATGCTCTCCACCTCAAATTAGTAGTGCCTTGCTCCTGTACGGTACATCATACTTTTCCTTTAACAATACGGTCATCTGTCTAACATTTTTTAGGGAAAAAGTTTTTAATTGAAATAACATGAATTCCAGTTTGCATCGGAAGTTCTTATATAGTTAATCGAATCCTCCCGCTCCTAAGCTTTCCATATCTGCTCTATTATTCCATTTATCTAACACCGTTTTCGAGATTACGGAAAGACAGGCGAACGACAGTGGGAATTTATAGATCCACATTTTTTCAAATTGCAGCCCAATAAGTGTGGACTAGTTAGTTAAAATCATAAGTTCATATCAGTCCTGAGTGATCATAATAGTATTTTACGAATTCCGAAGCAATGTCACCATTAAAATAAATCTGGAAAACAAACATCATCACAGTAAAAGCCTTGGGGCTTTACTTTGTACCACAACTCCTTCAATTTTTGTCCAATCGAGATGAAATTTTGGTTATATTCGTTTTATGTTCTGACGGAAAGTATAGGCTATTTATTTTGCGAAAATATTAACTACAGAATAAACGTTTTATCGATTTCAGATCGATGATCGCACTTGATTGACCACGGAATTTCCCTTAAGTTGCATTTTAAAATATTTTGACAAATGGCGTACTTTAAATTTACTTCATTAAATTTAAATTTAAACTTTAAAAAAAGATAGCTTCAACGTGTCACTTCTATAACAAATTTTTTTAAAATTTCCATGGTAACCACGTGACGTTCTATTATCCAATCGGAGGTAACGATCATTTAAGTGACGTACTGTAATGTACAAGAATACACAATTCATCTTTATTTTATCAACGTGGAATTAAACAGACTCGCTATTTTGTCAAAAAAGAAGAAGAAGAAAAAAAAAATGTGTTTCGTCATGCTTGACAGGGGAATTTCTAGTCTAGAAACATTGAAGGTCAATTAAGTAACGTTATGACAATAATGACGCTAATCAGTTGAGCAAAACTGTAGACAAGATTTACAGTAACAGTTAAAGTTATTATTTTTAGTTTGAATTGATACTCGAATGAATTATGTAATCTTCAAGTTGTTCAATATTTAATAAATTGTTTATTCATAAGAAAAAAAAACTACAACGCAGGAGGAATATTTACATTTGCTACAAGTCTTTAATTTTAAAGCTGTCTGGCATTCAACGAAAAATAAAAGATTGGTTTTACAATAGTCTAAAAATTTATTTAAAAGTTTATGATTCTTAAGGAAACTAAAACTTGTAGTCACTTTGCAAGAATTGTTTATTATTATTGCTTTTATTAATTATAAAGTACAGTCATTGCCATAAAAATTAGTGCATCAAGAAGAAGTTGTCGTATCGTTGCAAAACTTGTCACGCAGATATGAAAATGGTTAGAGTTATAGCATTATGGCTCATTGCGTAATGCCAGCAAAGGGCATTAAAAGTGCATCCCTCTTGGTCTAAATAACAGCACGCAAAGGCCTCTTATCTGTAGTTTAAGTGTTACAGAGGGACACTGTATCACTAGATATGCCTTTACATTGCAATCGAAGATCATGTGAACAACTAACCGATTTTGAGAGGGAAAGGATCATCGGGTTGAGAAAAGCCGGATGGTCAACTCGTCGAATAGACCGCCACCTAGGCCATTCTGACAACACTGAAGAAGTATTGTGACCAGTGGACGACAGAGAGCTTGCACACAACGACCCAAGCTCAGGACGCCATCGGCAGACCACTAGCCGAGAGACCGCTAGGTCCTCCAACAAGCATGCACACAGCGACCTTATCGTTGTCCGTCATCCGGACTCAGGTGGTGCCATCATTATAAGCCCCTATGTCTGTTCATACCATTTCGAGGCGTCTGGGTGAGAAGCATTTGGTATCGCAGCGGCCATTACATGTGCTGTTATTGCTGACACTACCACTGTCTACTCCATTTGAAGTAGTGTCGCTCATGACGGGATTGGACCACATCGGAATGGAACCGGGTCGTCTACAGCGACAAATCTACATTCAGTTCGGGCATTGACGACGGCCGTGTTCGTGTCTGGAGGCTCCGTGGTAAACGCATCAATCCTGCCTACTCTTTGGAGCGGCATACTGCCCCTATAGCTGGTGTGATGGTCCGGGTTGCAATCACACACGATAGCCGGTCACCTCCAAGTAGTGATCCAAGGAACCACGACAGCTCAGCGGTGAGTGACATCCTGCAGCTACATGTGTTGCCTCTCGTGGCAGGGCTCCCAAGAGCTATCTTCCAACAGGACAATGTTCGACCACACACACAGCAAGAGTGTCACAGGAGTGCTCCGCCACATTGCCATACTTCCCTGGCCTGCCGGTCCTTTGATTTATCATCGATAGAACATGTCTGGGATCACCTAGGACACCAAGTTGGACAACCTAGAAGTTTGGCCAATCTAGAGGACTGCTTGCAGTCAGTGGACTGAGATGCCGCAGGACATCATACCGCATCTGTATGCCTCCATGCCCGCCCGTATCGCATCGTGTATTCACGCTATAAGTGGCTAGAACCTCCTTCCATCTGTAGTTTTTCATGCAATAAATGATTATTTTGCTTTCATTTTGTAATTACTTAGTTATATCACCGTTACACTCACACATGTACAATTTCGTTCGATTCTGACAACTTTCGGTGCGCTAATTTTTATTGCAATGAGTGTAATTCAGTATGTATTACAAACATATGAATAGTATTTTTTAAATGATTTTACATGTGAATTTTGTAACTTATGCTTAATGGTTCGCTGAAATTTAAATCCTACTAATAGGATTCTGATTACATTTAAATTAAAATGAAAGAAACAAAAGAATTCACAAATAAGAAAAATATATATGCTCAATCATAGCCAGTAAATCTTATAATGCTCAACTGATTTCATGTTTTATATTATAAGACGAAATTAACTGGTTAAAATGCTCCGAATTCTTTAAATTCCTTGTAAACAACTGAAAACCTAATAAAATTAAATGACGGTCATTACACAAGTTATCCAATGAAAATTCTAAAGAATGACGATGCTTGTTTTTTTTTCTTTTTCTGATCTTTAAGTTTTTAAAAATATTGATAAAAATGTATCTTTGTTTTCATATTATTATTAAGACAAAACTGTTTTCTAAATTATACAGCACTTTGAACAATAAAAAGATGTGAAAGGATACAGAAAGCAAATTCGATCTAATATAAAATCTAAGATATAATTTTATTAGATAACATTAAAACAGGTTTTGTGTTTTTATTTTCCTTACACAATATTAGTAAAATGTAATTATTGCAAAACATTTCTCACTCAGGATATAACGTAATAGTTTTCGTATAAAAAAAAAAACTACTTCTATGCAGTTTTGTGTATTTTATATTTTATATCTTCCTCTTTAAGTTATTTATTAAATTATTAAAAGAAAATTATTGATTTGCATTATGATTTAACTGATCTGAAAACTTGAACTTTGATTTTTATTGCATTAATATATGTTTTATTAATAGTCTATTTGTCATTTTACTCAACCTCTTTACGCTGAATTTGCTTCCGCGTTAATAAATCATTAAATATATATAATATTTAATGTTTAAGTCCACCATTAAATTTAGCTTATATAATATTTAATAATAGGCAGATACGTTATACTCAAAGTAGTCTATACAGAAATCTAAAAATAGATTCTTGTGAATTTTCAATTTTCATTTGAATCAAAGTATATTTTCCTACTAATATTAATCGAATAAAAGAAGCTCATTTTTTTTACACAAATGTATTCTTGTTTTATACAGTAGTCTAACATGAATAAATAAAGCTATATATAAGGAATATATAAATATATATATTATATGCAATATTATATATATAATCTAATTAATTGCATCAGTTTTGTTTTAATATTATTTTCTATTCTCAAATATTTTATGCCCAATAATCCTGAATGATCTGCATATTAATTAATGTCGTTAATTTCAAATTTCCAGATTTGATATTAGATCAAATGTAATGACCAATCATTCTTAATTTTGACAAACTATTATTGATACATTGATTTAACGCAAAATTCTGATTATTGATTATGAAAGATTCAGCATGAATCTCACTTTCAAAAAGTTATGAAATCCCAAATAAAAAGAACAAATGATATTTTGCGCATAAGAAATGCACGTGACAAATCTGGTCAATTAATAAAAACCGATACGACATAAAACGAATATATAATTTTAATTCGTAATATTTAATTCTTACAAGCACGAAATAATAATAGAAAAAAATATATATATATAATACGTAATATATAAATTGAGTTTAATTAAGTTTTAAGTAATAATATTAAAAATAATTTAAATATTATTTAATTTTAATATCTTAAATTTANAGAATATCTTAAATTTATAAATTAATTCAAATATATAATAAATTTAAAAATTTTACTATTAATTTTGTTAAAATAATTTTAAAATTTATTAATTGAATTCCGTTTCGTTTCGCACCAATAGTTATCTCATATATAAAGCCTCGGAATCGATCCATGATGCAATCTGTGCGCGTGCTCGTCTCCTCCATCTTGTTTGTTCTAGTGTCGTCTGGCGTTACACGTTATCAAGGCATGGCTTCTTGTCCTCTAAAAGCGGTTTGCGTGTTAGTAGGAGAAAGTGTAAGCGGTACTGTTCATTTTTCTCAACTGGTAAGACATTTTTTTACTTTCTCTATACTTCTAGCATCGGTTTACATAATTGTTTACAAGGTAAGAGGAAACCGGTGGCTTTGATTGAGCAATTTTAAACGTCATATCCTTATTAAATTTAATGATTTAGCAAAAATTTCATTCTGGTTTAATTATTTTCAAGGATAATTGATTTGATTATGTTGTGCTTCTATGTATACAAGCTTAATTACAGCTTAAACGGTTAACAAACCCGTCCATGTTGCCTTCCTTGTAAGCGAGTCTCCAATTTTCCTTTCGTATGATAATTGTTGTTTATATAAGAAATATGTTTAAGGAAAAGCGTACGAGTGTTTCCTTCTTCCTTGTAGTCACATTAACACAGACAATGAAAGAAACTGAGATTTTTTCCTTAATATGAAATACAATTAGGCTTTAAGAATTACAGAATGTGTGTACATTTGTGAGGGATGTTGGGTATTATTTGCAAAAATAAAAAATGGTTTACACAATAGTTTTGTCCTAAATTTTAATGAATTTAACGCTCTAAATATCATGTGTTTTATACAGTATTTTTATTTAATTGCAATTAATTAAAAGTTTTTATTATGTTCTTGTATTATAATACTGTTTTTTTTTTTTTCGTAACATACTAATATACAGAAGGGTGTAAAAGTAGATAAACAGTTGTTATTGTGGGAAAAACATACAGGGAGAAAATAGGAAAAAGAAACATTTATTTTTATGTACAAATTAAATCACAAATAAGGAAGACTAACTAATAAAAATAATAATAAAGAACACCAAACATTTGTATTTCCGATTCTCACCTGTATACCTACTTTTGCACCTCCCCTTTATATGAGAACTATAATATACATACACAGTATATAGTTCATTAAGAATCATTTTCATTAAAATTAAATTATTGTAGAAATAAAGTTTTTAGTGTTTTAGTTGTTAGTTTTATAAAATTCTTAATTTATGTTTTGTATTTATTAAGCTAATATTATGAAAGGATTTAATTATATTATTATTAAGCTTATTTTCTAGTTAAATTCACTATTTAATACTACTGTTATATATTAAACCTATAATAGTTTATCAATAATTGAATTTGTTTTTTTTTTTTTATAAGTGTAAACTTATCAGCAAATTATCTAACGTACAATATATCTATCATCCTTTTAATGGAAATCACATGCTTTGATTACAACTTTAAAATGTATAGAACTGTGTTATAAAACAGATCTTTTAAGTAACCTTCTATAAGTTTTTTTTAATGATATAATATATTATTAACTAGAATATTTCAAAATCTAATGAAGAATAATTTATAGCAGCATTTTCATTTTGTCTTGCTATTTACAATAATGCAGAGTAAATTAATAAAAAATAGAGTAGACAGATGGCACTTAATTGTTCAATGGACATGTTCTAAAATATATCAGGTTGGACTTTATATTGTATGACGTAAAATATTTGACCTTGCAGTTTTTCAGATTTTTCTGGTATCATCTTTAAATGTACTTCTCACTCTTTTTTCTGTAGGAAGTCTTTTACTCAAATATTTCAGATCAATGTAGCTATATTATATGGAGGGGTGTGTGTGATAATAGATTATCAATTTCAAATACTGCATTTAAAAGATAAAATAATTTGATTTTAAAGATCAATCACACTTACTCTGCTATAACAAATGACTATTAGTATTATCCAAAATTATTGTATTTTACAGCAATACAGTAAAGACACTCCTTCATTTCAGCATAGGGAAAAAGCATTTAGTGTGTTTAAAAGCCATCCTTTATCTTTTGTATATGACTGTTAAACAAAATGCAGTAAAAAATAAATTTAAAAGTAAAATTAGAATGTAAAGTACATTTTGATTTTATTAGAGAGAAAAGGAGTTAATAGCAGTCATTTACAATTAAAATATTTTACTTGAATATATGCAAAAGCTGTATCTATAGCAAATAATTATTATTTATTAATTAAACATTATTATTATATTTTTATTTAAGAGTTGATCAAGGTAGAAATTAGCTGTACCCTACTGAAGGCTGTTTGGAGAATTCATTAGCCTACGGGAATTTCAACCTCACATATAAGATTGAAAACTTTTTAAACAAAAGTTGCATCTTATATGCTGTAACATAGGGTAATTTCTATGCATTAAAATATTCTTTAAAATTAATACAAACTGGACAGATTTTTTAATACATAAAAATGGAACCTTTTCTAAATTTCAAATAAGTATAGTTTTTATATTAAGAAAGAGCTGGTTTGAAACATTTTTTTTTCCCCACTTTAATTTACAAATTTGTCTTATTTAGTTCTTTTATTGTAATTTACCATAAGAAATTTATAAATTTTTTTTAGAAACCAAATTGTCCTGTTACTGTTGAAGGAGAAGTTAGAGGATTGAAACCTGGACTACATGGTTTTCATGTTCATGAGTTTGGTGATAATACTAATGGCTGTACAAGTGCTGGAGCACATTTCAATCCCCATGGAAAGACCCATGGTTCACCATGTGATGAAGAAAGGTAAATGTGACATATAATGTTGAAAGTCAGTATAGGATAATTCATTGTATTTTTTTTCTCCTTTTGCATTTAGATTAATAATATAATCAGAATGATGTATATTACTATTTAAATTTCTTGTTTCAGCTTTGATATACCAAAACAAATTTGTTTTAATTCAGTTCAGTGGAATCATGTATTATGTTATAATTAAATCTAAAAATATATAACAAGCATAGTAGATATGAATGTGGAAAACTAGAAGAAATAATTCATTTTGTGATTGCAATTATCTGTATATTTAGGTATAAAGAATTTTTATTTTTGATAATTTATAAACACATTTTAGTTTAATATTTTTACACAATGCTCAAATGGGACATCAAGACTAGGTGTTTCATAATATTGACAAATAAATATATGTTTATATAACACAAAATGTATTGATATAACACAAGTCTGCTTTATTCTGCTTCATTTTTAAGAAAGACTTACATTAGTACCTGTTTTTGGAGAACCCAGGGAAATCAAAAGATGATTTTTGTTTTTATGAAAATGGGAAAGCAGTAATGGCATTTTGTTTGTTTTGCAGCAAGCCATTTTAGAGCCATTGTGCACCATGAGCAGCAAGTGACATCTTCAAGTTCCTTTCCTGAAAACTACATTCAGCATCTAAGCATCAATGATCATAATTTTGAACTATGAAAGAATTGTTCTTTATCTCAATTTAGTCTTCAAATGAACTGCTGAATTATCATCAGGCTATTGTAAGCTAATGAGTTATTTGATATAAATAAATTTGGCAGTTATGCTGCTGTCTCATGGTAAGTTTAATAATGTCTGGAATAAGACAAAATTTATTTCTAAACATTCCCAAATTGAATCAGTCCAGGGCAAAGACTCATAATAATTTGGCTCATAAATAATTAGCCTCATAATAATTTGGCAGTTTGGTGGCTTTATATATAAACAATCATTACCCTAGTACATTAATTCACAACTCCTATTTACCATGCACATACATTGTCAGTTATGTTATCCAGACCTCTGGCCATTCTTTGCTTCCAGAACTATTGATTTAGATATAACCATGCAGGGTACTTGTACTAACTGAGAAAATTTAGTATTCACTGCTCTCCATGGACTTAGCCCATTTATGCTTTACTCTGGTGTGAGGTTTGTGTGTGTTAAAAACAACTAACTCAATAGATTAGATTCCAAATAAGCTACCAAATTATTATTAGACTATTATAATACCCAACAATAATTTGTAATATAATTCTTAGCTGACTTATGCTTTATCAATGCTTGAATAAAGAGTAAGTTGACTGAATGCTATGGAGAGCTCTTGGGTGCTAAGTTACCATACCTGTATAATCATACCTAAATCAATTCATTAATAGTTCTGTAAGTGAAGATTGGCCAGAGGTCTGGATAGCATAGCTGGCATCATATGTGCATGGTAAGCAGGAATTGTGGGTTAATCACATTCCAGGCCAATTTTGTTTTATTCCAGAACATTCTAAATTAAAAATTAATTTAATTAATAAATTTAATGGTAAATTTAATAACTGCCTACCTACAGTCAAAATTTATTTCTAATTATTTATCAGCCTCATAATAATTTGGCAGTTTGGAGGCTTTATATATAAACAATCACTATCCTAGTACATTAATTTTCATTTATTTTCTGCATCTAATACTCTAACATACATCTGCTATCAGGAAAGCTTAACAAAGCTCTTAACTCTGAAAGGGTTGTATGGGATGTTAAGCATCCCCATTTCTTGCTTTACTTGATACTATTTTAATGTTTTCAAAGATTATTAGGCTACAGTTTGAAAAAATTGTAGACCTATAAATTCCTACTGTTGTCTGTCTGTGTCCTTTAATCTCGAACAGTGTTAGATGAAAGTTGCGACCAGATATGGAAAACTTGGGACAGGAGGCTCTTATTTATATATGAACTTTTGGTCTATACTAGAAGTCATGATTTCAATTCAAAAATTTTCCTGGGATGGAGTTACAAATGGTGCATTTAATTCTGAGCTAATAGTGCCACTTCTGAACACCAGAAGTGACGTCATTAGCATGTGTATTTCTTCTTACTTGTCCAGTTCAAATGTAAATGCTAACAATAAATATGGCGGTTTCATGCAAATATTATCAAAGCTGCTGATTTAAATGTTACGTTACAGATAGAATTACTTGATTCCAAGTTGATGAGGATGATCTTGTTATGGATATAATTGTGGAAAAAATGAAAGAGGAAAAAAGAAAAGCAAGATCATAGAAAAGATAAACTTTTATTGAAGCAACTGAACCAGTTTATAATCCAACCAATTTTAAACAGCATCTTAGACTTAAAGAGAATCTTTTGAAAGTCTCCTTAAAAAAAATAAGTGCAATTTTAGACACAAAAAAATTACTGCCCCTGGAAGATGACCTTTATTTCCTCAAAAGCAGGTTATATGCTGCCTATGGACATTTGGAAAATGAAAAATCATTCACATTGGTTTATAGGAAGTAATATATGCAATCAGATGCAGTATATAAGAGAATAGCAGATTGTACAGTACATATATATAATACATATTTAATACAATCGTTTTACCCAGTGAATAGATGTGACATTGCTTTTTTATAGTGTAAGTGAACCGAGTTTAAGATCAACAAATTATTGATGTTAAATACAAAACATTTTTCCCCTTCTTTTCTCTAAGGGTATTATTAGCAATCATTTTTAATGTCTCAATGCACTGTATGGAATATTTTAAATAAGGTTGTTAATTCTCTCTTAGTTGAATATCTGAAGACAAAGTCCTCCCAAAAAAAGGAACCACCATTTACTCTTTGTATTTCAGACTATACATTCTTGCTGACTGACCTTTCATGTTAGGCTATTGGCCATCAAAAAGTCCTTTTTAAAAACACAAAAATACATCCAGTTAAAAATACAAAAATTTCTTAAAAAGGAATTGGTGACATACAGACGTCTTCTGGTTTCCATCATACCTTCTTGGGGTTGTTTCGGCTTTTTATCTACATGGAAATGAGCTCCTTAATGTTAAATGAAAGTGAAAAATCTCTTGACAATCACAGCAGGATGCTGCAAGAACAATGGAATTTCTTTTATACCCAATCTGGTTTCTCTGGAATTATAGGCTCTATTGATGGAAAGCATATGGCTATTAGGATATCAACTGAAGAAGCAGTAGCTTATTTCAATAGAAATAAGTATTAAGTCATCCTATAAGTTTAGTTTGTAATGAGAAAATGGTAATTTTAGACTGCTGTGTAGATAATGCTGGGTCAGTGCATGATGCCTGTGTTTTCCGATTATCAACATTACATCAGAGATGGATTTTTCAGCTGTTGCCATATTTTGGATAATAGTACATATCTGTTATCTAAACATTTGCTAACAGCATATCGAAATAATGGGAATCTTAACCGCATTCAATTACACAATAATAAATAACCAAATATAGAAATCAAATTGAGCATGCATTTACACATCTTGTTGGAAGGTTAAGACCGCTAACATTTTTAGATGTATCAAATGGACTTGATTGTAAAAACAATTATTGGTGCATGCATTCTGCACAATATTTGTATACAAACTTATAATACAATAGAAATAGATTATTTTGATGAACAAGGAAGGAAGTGAAGAAACACCAGTGCATCCTGCTGTTGGAAAAACTACAACAAAGCGTGATGACATTGCAAATGGAATGTTTATCTTAAAAATTTCAGAATACTTGGTCAGTAAAATATTGAGGGGAGTAAACATTCATCTCAATATTTTACTGATGAAACATTATTCAAAATATTTGTTTCAGTATCTCATTGATATATTTACTTGAACAAAAGTAGAAATACCCATACAAAGAATCTTTTATACGAGCACAGTATCATTTTGTTTAATTATTATTATTACATCATCACTATTTAATGAAACTGTGTAATTTCCTTGTGTAATTTATAATAATTTTTTTATTAATGGTTTTATAATGTTCTGTATTTACTTAATGCTATGAAAGTAGTAGTAGTAGTAGTAGTAGTAGTAGTAGTAGTAGTAGTAGTAGTACAGTAGAGCATCGATTATCCAAATCAATTGGAGAATGGTGTTGTTTGGAAAATCGATGTTTCGGATAACTGATTATGTACGAAAAAATATATTAACCTATCCCATGTTGAAATTTGTTCAAATCCTGGCACATCCTTAAGTATCCTTTCATGGTCGTGCCAGTGCTACCAGCTAAAACATGCACACCAACAAAAATAATATTGGAGTAGCCCAAGACACAGCTAAAGATTGCAGCACCACAGCACAAGCGGAAATTTAAATTTTCCAACTGAAAAGCTTTCAGTTAATTGACATTTCAGTTGATCAACATTCGGATAATCGATGCTCTACTGTACTGTATTTAATTTTAGAAATTCCTAAAATGCAAATAGTTGAAACAAGAATTTTTATTCAAATGATACAATTTCTCAGTCATTTCCCATATGCAATTGAAAATTTTTTCAAGTATACAAACTTATATAATTCTGGATTATTTTTAATGCTGTTCATTTCTTTATGATTTATTTAATGCTCTGAACTTCTGAAGATTCCAAATGTGTATAAGGTAAACTTCACTTTTAATCGTAAGTAACAAGTCAAACTTAATTTTTTCACATTAACCCTCTGTTTATGAAAAAAGTCATCTACAACTATTGAACCTTACAATAAAAAAAGTAAAGATTATTATAAACATTTTATACAACAAATAATTGAAATTTACCGATAAAATTATTTTCTGCCAAAACAGAGAGAACACTTTTTTTATTGGTAAATTTCAAATATTTTTCCAAAAATAATTCTGTTTCATTTCTTTGTACTAGAAAGTCATTTTTTTTCAATGGAAGCAGCCATATTGAATTAGTGCAAAGCTCAACAGTAAACTAGCTAGCACTTCGAGCTTACTAATTTCGTTAAAAATGATGCCACACAACTCTGAAGTAACATGGCC